GGCGACTGGAGCACGACTCATGGCTTTTGAGCATAACTTACGGTATTACTTTTTCGCAAAATTTCGAATTTTATGCGTTTTTCTAAATTTTTGTAAGAACGATTTTCCACTTGAAACATTGGGAAATTCGAAAAGACAGGTCCAAAACTGAAAAATGTGATTAAAAGAGTAAAATATTGTTTTTGGGCCAAAAATGGGCAATTTTTGAGCAAAAATTCAAATTCAAATTATCAAAGTTTTTTTTTTTTATTTATATTTTATTTTTAATAAAAAAAAATTTAAAAAAAAAAAAACTACCGGGGGTGGGTTGAAGTTTTAATATTCCCCCCCTTTCCTCCCCCCGCAAACGACCCAGTACCCCCGTTTTGCTCAGTATCTAGCTAGAATGTTGCGAAATTTTCGAACCTCCGAGTCAAAAATTAGTAATACGATCTGGTGATTCCCGGGTTATCGCAGAAATCACGTTGACCTAGCGATACGGTAGCGTGAATCACCCGGGTGAATTATTAGAGCCGACACATATCGGGTTATACTGAGGGTAAAACCTATGAATCAGCTCGAAAAACACTAATCTGGCGCTTCTGAGACTCGCGTGTCGATTCGTCATTTTCGGCGCCGTTATCTTTGCAGAAAATGATGCTTACAAATAGACATGAGGTACAATCAAGCGGTTTTCTCAGGATGGTGCAAAGCGGCCCACGATTTTGCACTGTTTTGAGCCGGAAGTAAAGGGATGAAGCCGAAAATCACTAAAATAATTCGTAGTGTCCTCCGTAAAGAGATTTTATCGCGTAAAAGTTAAAAACTATCAAAAAGTTTAAAAAGCCAAGTTTCCAAGCTAAAAAAGTTCATAAAAGTATGAAATTCTCGGCCGAAACTTTCGTTTTTTGCAAAATTACATAGCGTAACTGAATCATCTCGACGAAAAAATAACCTAAAAATTGGGCAAAAAGATCTTTCCAATCCAAAAAAAGAGAAAAAGCTAAAAAATCCACGGTATTTCAACAATACAATTACCTAACGTAATCCAATAACCCTTAAAACAAAAAAAGCACATTTTTATTCGTATTTATTACTACAAGGTATTATGAATTATTTCAGATACGACGTTCCCCCCAAAAAGAGGTGCTCTGCTCAGCCATATATCATATCCGTCTCTCCTGCCATTTCTTGCTCCCACTCCCTCCTCGCCCAGCTCTTCCAGACGGGACCCCACACCTAAATCCACAACCCTGCCCCTGCCTTCAATGCTCCTTTAGAGCGCCTTCAGCCCTATCCCGTGCCACAGCTACCGTATCCCCCACTCCCCCAACCCAATGTTTGTACATTTTGGCCATCACGTAATTATTTTTGTTTTGCTTCGGCTTTGTGCCCCCAACGGTTCTGTTATATTGTGAAAAAAGAGGTGTGTGTTTTTGGATTATGGTATGATGATAAAGATTAGAAGATATTATGAGTGGTATTTACGCATTAATTATACGATTTAACACTTTTTTAATCAGCGCCTTGTGGCTAATTGGTAGTGTGCTAACTTGCCACTCCGAAGGTCCGGGTTCGATTCCGGGCCACGACAAACTTATGGGAACAGATATAGTTTTAGCTATAGGATAAAATTCAAGTATTCCGAGACGCGATTTACACGTCACTGCAGGGTTTTTCAGTGTCAAAGACCTCTGTGGCTAATTGGTAGTGTGCTAACCTGCCACCCACAAGGTTCAGGTTCGCCCCCGCCGGCCGCAAAACTTTTTGCTTTTTGGCAAAGAGTTGACAAATAGACGCCCCTTTCGTTATCCCATCGGAGAAAGCATCCCGAACGGCGACTGGCGAATTAATGACACCATTTCCGAAAGCCATGGCGTCTGGCTAATTGGTAGTGTGCTAGCCTCCCAGGCAAAGAGCCCGAGTTCGAGCCCCGCCCGCGACACTTTTTGCTTTTTGGTGAAAAGTTGGGCAATTTTATCCCTTTAGGTATTCGATAAAAATAAGGTCCTTTGGCCAGGAATTTCACTAATTTTAGGCGTTTTTCTTTTTTTTGGCGACGGCTATTGGGGCCGACCCAAAATACCCCGATAACTTCTTATTCTGCGCTATTTTTAGCGTACCCCATGACTTTTTGGGGGCCGGCTTCATCAGGATTTACGGCCGTTGCTCCTCTTTCGTTGCCACAATGCGGCTTGACAAATTTTGGGGAGGGCAAAACAAGGTGATAAAGCAGAAGCGCCTGACCCGCCAATGCCGCTTCAGATGTCCCGCATTGTCGGTTTGAGTCACGCGGGATTAAATGACCATTTTATCGGCTCCTGTGTCAACAATCCATTTCCGGTTCAACGCAAAAAGCTTATCACAGCACGGGGTATGCGGGGGTACGGTAGGTTATATCCGGTCATATCCGGTAATTGCAAGGGGGTTAATCGAAACAATTTAACCTTAGAAAAATCACAAAATGGGCAAAAAAGGACATGAAAAGATTTTAGTTTTTCATGGTTTTTGATCTTTTGACTTGACATGGTTGACTTGACACGACATGGTTCTTTGACAAAAAAACATCAAAAATGACAGATGTTAAGCAGAAGGTCCAACGTATTTTTTCCTTTGGTTTTCAGCTTAAAATACGCAAGAAAATCACGCAAAATCAACTCTTAAATACAGTATTTTTGCATAGAAACATTTTTTAATTTTACGGATTATAAACTATTTACGCGCATCACAAAAATCGTCAATAACGACAAATGCGTACGCCTAAAACATAAGCCTAAGCTAAGCCAAGCCTAAGCTAAGCCTAAGCCAGCCCACCTAAGCAAATTTTTCTTTCAAAAACAACACTCCGCTGGGCCAATGGGACTTATTACAGCCCTCTTCAACACATATTAGCATTTTTATAGCAAATCAACTCCTTTCCGAGTCCTTGGATTAATGCGCCGTTAGCTAGCCGGCCCTGGACTACAGGGTGGCCAGAAAAAAAAAAGTGCCTGGTTTGCACTGAAATATCTCGCTAGGAGAAACGAATCGAACCATCGTTACCATGCCAGAATACTTAAATATGCTGGGTATGAAGAATAATCACAAGTTACTTTTTACGATTTTTGACGACCCCCTACTCGTTAAAAAGTTTTGAACATTTTTAAAAAAGTAGAAAACTTTGAAGACGAAAATAATGGAACTTTTAATGACTTAGCCGGACATAAAGAGTATCAAAATGAAGCTCTTGACATGCGCTATCAAACCTGTGTTAAAGAATTTTGATCGGTTTAACTAGTCGTCAATAGGAGCGTTCGGAAAATCGCGACTTTTTGGAGAAATAATTCTAGATAAAATTTCCTTACCAACCGATTGGTCTAATATTTTGTAGTTAGCAATACATAAATAACTACTAACTTTTGGCATTAACATTTATAAAATCCCAATCAAAAAAATTTTTGACATGTTGCCAAGTCGACGGAATTTGGAATTTCTAGGCTGTTTTAGTTAAAATTATAACATGGTTATCTTTGGCAACTAGGATTGCATGTAACAAGTACAAAAGTTATGGCGTCAATGCGGTTTCTATGGTCAATTCGGAATCGGCCATTCTGAAAAAGTCGCGATTTTCCGAACGCTCCTATTGACGACTAGTTAAACCGATCAAAATTCTTTAACACAGGTTTGATAGCGCATGTCAAGAGCTTCATTTTGATACTCTTTATGTCCGGCTAAGTCATTAAAAGTTCCATTATTTTCGTCTTCAAAGTTTTCTACTTTTTTAAAAATGTTCAAAACTTTTTAACGAGTAGGGGGTCGTCAAAAATCGTAAAAAGTAACTTGTGATTATTCTTCATACCCAGCATATTTAAGTATTCTGGCATGGTAACGATGGTTCGATTCGTTTCTCCTAGCGAGATATTTCAGTGCAAACCAGGCACTTTTTTTTTCTGGCCACCCTGTAGACATCCTAAGACCCGCCCCAGCTACCGTAGCCTAAACTGCGCCATCTCTATCGTCTGCCCCAAAAAAGGGACAAACGTATCAGATCTGTTCTCCAAATAGGGCAGTAAAGCCAAGGGATGGGTAGATTTTTCATTTTTTTGTCAAGAGCTCACTCGAAATCTAGCCACCCGGTCGGCTTCACTGCCCCTTTAGAGGGGGATATCGCCCTGGGCCGAGGCGGGTCTTTTCAGGCGGGAATTTGCTTGGAGTTGCTCTGCGATTAGCTTCTTCTCCGTCTCGGCGATGCTCACCAAGAAGGCCAGCCAGGTTGGGTCGGTTTCGCCGGCTGAAAAGAGGGAGGATGAGCTTATAACGTTGGGTCTAATTGGGTTATCACGAGCCGCTGCTGCTCTCTCGATTTTCGCTCGCTCTCTCGCTCTCTCTCAATCTCTCTCGCTCTCACTCTTGCTCTCTCTCTCTCTCTCTCTCTCTCTCTCTCTCGTTGCTTCGAGCGGCACGTTACGCGTCTGCAACACGTTCACATCACTGCGATGGCCCAAATCCACCCAAAAATCTCTCCAACAACTCACCGCTCTCCTCAACCGTCCCCTCGGCAACATGATGTTCATCTACATCCATGACACTAGGTGGTATTGGTGACGGGGTAGAGGCGAGAGAGACGGGCGTCGGAAATGTGAACACCACCGGCTGGGGCTTCTTCTGTGGCGGGAGAGCCGATAGCGGCGCCAGACCCGATGGAGTCAACGGGGATTGCAGCTGGAAAAAGGTTATGAGATAGTAGGTAAATGGAGCTAGCTAATTTTAATAGAAGAGAGAGACAAAAAGAGAGAGAGAGAGAGAGAGAGAGCGAGAAACTTACCGGCGAGAGAAAGGTGGCATTTGATGTTGACAACGGTGAGGCTGAGAATGCCATCCCGGGATACGGTCCGTACCGCGCCAACTTACGCGGCACCATTTCCATCTGAAAAATTTTACGCGTTGACGAAAACGGACGTTGGGCTACGCCACACTACGCTACGTTGCGCCACGCTACATCATTATGAAGCCGCTACAACGCACTACGCTACGTTCCGCTACACCACTACTTCCACAGTTTTTTGCATGCCTACCTGCCCAAAGTCCGGGTGTCCACCATTTGTGAAGATACGCGGCGGCAACGAGGTCGGATACCTGAAAGAGGTTCTTTCCGGAATTCCTGCGCTCCGGACACCGTGACGTAACAAACCCCTGCGCGCAAAAATTCCCAGAGAAGGGCAATGATAAGCTAATTGACGCCAAACATCTTTTGATGCCTTGCGGGTTTTATGACAATTTTTGATCAGCACGCCGTGAATCAGATTGTCGAGTTTCAACGCGTCGAAATTTCAGACTACAAAAAATATCGACATTATGAAAATTTCGGGATTCTGAAACGGCGAATATCTGAAATGGAGACATTTTTAAATGCCGAGTTTATGAAAATTCGGCGTTTTAAAATTCCGAAATTCTGAAATATCGATACTTTCTAAAAAGCTGAACTCGCCGAAATAGAAATACTCACCTTTGAATAAAGTGTACGGGCTCGCCTTGAAACGGCGGGTATGCAGTGAGGATACGCTGGAAAATAGGGGTGTAACGAGGGATGCAGCGTAGCCCCTACCTCGCCGCGCGACATCTCTTCCGCGTCCGACGAGTCCGCCGAGTCATAGGTATCTGGAAGATCGTGGGTTTTTCGTTTCTCTCTCTCAGTCTTTCTCTCTCTCTCTCTCGCTCTTTCTTTCTCTCTCTCTCTCTCTCTCTCTCTCTCTCTGAGTCTCCCTTTTTGATGCAAAAATTACCTGTAGGCCTGAATCGCTGCCGGGTTAAATTATTCTGCTGTGGGAGCAACTCGACTTTTATCTAAACTATTAATTTTGAAGCCAACACCAAGAAAATACGGTAAAACGCAGCCGCCACGCGTACGCGACGCGTCTACGCGACAAACTACAGACGCTGTTCAAAAAAACCCACTTCCGTATCCTCCGGCAGGCTCTCCTTATAGCGACGCACAAACGCGTTCTTCCGCATCCGCATCAGCCGGTCACACTGAATTTTAGGGTCTGTGGTTTATTTTTGAATCGACAATTAGAGAATTTCCAAAACAAAAATTCGGACGATTTTTAGAATTTGCATTGAAATTTTATATAGATTTAAGGTGTTTGTAACAACCTACCGATTTACATTTACAATCAATAAAGGGGCAAAGCGGGGCGTGACCCTTCAAAATTCTCTGAAATCCGTGGCCCTCGCATTTTCGGCAGTAGAGCACGCGGCCCTTCGTTGAAGACAGTGAATTTGGGGAGTTTAGCGCTGAAAACGGTACTGTAATTTGGGTCAAGTTTTAGGGAGGCTGTTGTACTGTAAAAAGTGCTGTTACGACGCTCGAAACGGTTACAGTAGCATTGCAATATTTTTTCACTAGCTGTCTGGCGCTCTCTCTCTCTCGCACTCTCTCTCTGTCTCTCTCTCGCTCTCGCTCTCTCCCTCGCTCTCTCCCCCCTCTCTCGGCTCTCTCTCTATATCTCCCTCTCTCTCTCTCTTTCTCTCTCTCTAATTCTCTCTATCTCTCTCTAGTCATCTACCTGCAAGCGAGCCTGCAAATTCTGTTGCGCACGCAAAATTTTTAGGCCACTGATATGGCGCGAAAAACCGGGCTCAAATTGCCTGCTACAGTAGTTTGTCTTGGGAGTTCGGAACACGCGATAACAACCGCGAAATGTCATGGACAAAAAAGAAACCGGGGTCAAAGTTGAGGAATTTTAAAAAATATCGGGATTAGGGTCCTATGTTACGCTACGGTATGTTGCGCTACGGTATGTTGCGCTACGTTACACAGTACACCATACTACATTAGGTTCCTATGGATAATGTTATGTTTAGGTTATCAAACTTTAGGTTACGCCAGTTTACGCTACATTGCGCCACGTTACACTACCGTCCGCTACCGTACGCTACGTTACGCTATCTTATGCTACTTTACGCTGATGTGGGCTACGTTACGCGACGTTACGCTACGTTATGTTGTACAAAACGTGGCGTAAATTATAGTAGCTACCGTGCACCTCAGATCAGCCAACTCTTGAAAATGCATCCCTACGTACCTACCATCTCTCTCTCTATCTCTCTCTCTCTCTCTCTCTCCTCCCTCTGTCTCTCGCTCTCCAACCAGTTCGACTAACTATCCAGACACCCTTATCGTTCGTATCCGAAACCGCATCTGTGTTTTTTCGTGTGTCCCTTCTTGATTACAGCATTGGGCAATCGGAACTCACGGGACTCTCCGCGATTCTGGTGCACACTCATCATGGCTGCTGCAAATAGTAGTGAAGCGGAGGGCGGGGGGGGGAGGGAGGCCAGAATCGTTAGTATAACATGTTGCCCGGGCGGTTATGTGAATCGAGCCGTTATCACAAATGTCTCCCTGCCCTTCGCCTAAACGGGACGACTTCTGGGGTGCTGATAAGTCGTAAATGAGAGGGGGAGGGCCCTCAATACTTTTCAGGTTGATACTTTTGTTTCGCGGGTGCGCCTGCACCTAACATCATCCAAATGTGGCATCGTTTTGAGACGGAAATATGCTGGTGGAGGCATAAACAAAATCGTTAAGGTTTTGGGCGAGAGAGACAGAGAGAGAGAGCGAGAGAGAGTGCGATATAGAGAGATAGAGAAGAAGAAAGCAAGAGAGAGTAATAAAGAGAAAAAGCGGGAGCTTGAGAGTGAATGGGAGAGCAAGAGAGCTTGATAATTTGAGAGAGTGCGAGTGAGAGAGGTAGAGAGAGCGAGAGAGAGAGAGAGAGAGAGGGTGAGAGAGTGAGTGAGCGAGAAAAAGTGAGTGAGAGGGAGAGTGAGAAAGCGTGAGAAGCGAGAGAGAGACAGGGCGAGAGCGAGAAAGTTGGACGGTTGGCGAGATGGATGTAGAGATAGAGCGAACTTTTTGAGCCGTCGAGACCTAATCGATGGAAGCGGTCGCCTCCGCTCCTTCCAAGTCCCTTTAGTGGGACCATGCGCACCTTTTCCCATGTCTAAAATAACCAGCTACTTTTATATGTAATTCTATTTTGTAAAAAGAATAAGCTTCTGAAGGGCGCGGCCGTCCCGATTTTTGATTTGGGTTTTATAGCTTTATCGTTTTATCAACCTTGTTTTAACTTCCATTAAATGCTGACTTCTCTTCATTCGTATAACAAACGCGGGGATGGCGGAACTGGGTGTGGCTGCTAATTATTTGTCATGGTAACGTGCTGGCAATGGGCGTGGATGCGTACCGGCCACGCCTAGCTTGCCGATACTCTTTCATGACACATCGGGCTGACAAGGTTTTTTGTAAAGGTAGGCTTATCTGTCCTGAGACGTCGTGTATACGTACTTTTACTTGTCGGTAAGTCACCGGAGAAATGTTTCCTTTTAAAGAGATTTTGAAGGAAAATCTATCTTTTCTACTCGCTATTTAATTTTCTCTCTACGTCTCTCACTCTCTCTCTCTCTCTCTCTTGCTCTCTCTCTCTACGTAGCTATTCCTGCACGGGATGATACGCACCGTTGCGTAGCGCAGTGTAACGTCGACGTATACGCGCAGTGGACGTATAGCTCGATTTTTTGTTATGGACCTCCTAGTTGTCTCTCCCTTTCTCTGTCACTCGCTCACGCTCACTTTCTTTCTCTCTCTCTCTCTCTCTCATCTCTCTCTCCCTTGCACTCTACTTTTTCAGCCCAACCTTCGAATCAATCCAAACTACTGCAAAGACCCAATTCCACCTGATTCCTCCTGACGTCTAGCTCCACCCCCACACTCTAGCCAGCCGACTTCTACAAGCTATTTTCCACCGACTTCACCACCACTTTCACCCTAGTCTGCCCTGCCTTATCAACAGATTCAACTCGGCCAAACCACAACCCCTCCAGACACTCGGCGTGGCTGGGCCTGCCTGTGTGTTTTGAGCAGCCTAGTCCTGCGATTGCCGATTGGAAACTGAGGGGGAATACAGTACGCGGCAATTCTTTAGACAGCGCCGCTGGATTCCGCTGCTCAGCAACAAATCCCGCCGCTCAACACCTGCGGAACAAACTTCAACATTCGGCTTTATGAGATGAGTGCGATGGGTTGATAAAGCGGGTGGCTAAAAAAGTGTGTGTTTCGTTGGACTTTGGAGGGTGAGGCTTGGGCGTGGATTAGTGTTATTAAGTTTGGAGGGGCTATGCAGGGGGTTAAAGAGCTTTGAATTTGGTGCCGTAATGTATTCGGGATTTGTCGGACTTCTCTAGCTCTCTCTCTGTCTCTCTGTCTCTCTCTCTCTCTCGTTATTTATATACCTCTCTCACTACTTATCTCTCTATCGCTATGGGTGTCTCTCGTCCTCGTTGACGTCCTCGTTCTCTCTGGCTCTCTCTCTCTCATTCTCTTTCTGTATTTCTTTTCTTTAAATTTCTCTACTTAGCTATCCCTGTGTGCGCAATTATACGTAACGTTGCGTAGCGTAGTGTAACGTAGCACCGTATCAGTGTCGCAAGGTCTAGCTCAATTTACCGTTTCAGGGGTCCGGCGCTCTTCCTCCCTCTCACGCTCTCTTATTCTACTCTCTCTCTCTCTCTCTCTCTCTCTCTCTCTCTCTCTCTCTCTCTCTTTTCTCTCATTACGGGATAATACCTCCTCGGCAACTTATCCTGCGCCCCTCCGTCAATAGGTGTGAAACGGATCCCGTACCTCACGGCAATATATCACGCTCTCCCAAAAATCCACGCCCGAAAAATGGGATCCTCCGCCAAGGGTGGATGGTATGCGGCAATTTTTTGTCTCCGATAGGCTCCAAATGACAGTGGAGGATACCGTAGGACCAGTAAGATATTACTTAAAAACAGTATAGGTATCCCAGTAAGACGCTATAAGGCTGAATCAGGACTATAAAATTAAAGCTAATGACTCGTATCTTAATTGCTGTAAACACCCCTAGATAGTGGCTAGGTAAATAGGGAGAATTTGCACTCTGGGGGCACAATATTGGTGATAGGGTCTGCGGGTTTGGCTGGAAAACAAATGTATCGAGGAGGGATCTCGTCTCTCTCGCTCTCTCTCTCTCGCTCCTCTCTCTCGTTGTAAAAATTAACCTGTACTGCTTCAATTTCTCGCCGAAACCAGCGTAGAATTTATTCGTATCTGGGAAAAGAGATCGGGTTGGGGCCTGACATCGAAACTCATTCAAAAATGTATATAATTTGATGTTGTTCATCATCGTCATGCTGTAGATGATCATCCCATCATCGCTCCCATCATACCGCCCATCACAGCTCCTCGAAGTGCTCCTTGCACCGGGTTCATGCTGAAAGAAAATAGAGTAGGCGAGAGAGAGAGAGTGAGAGAGAGCGCGAGGGAGCGAGAGAGACCTACCCATATCCTCCACGGCCATATCCGTATCCACCATATGGTCTGTATCCGTATCCACCGTATCCACCGTACGGGTGATATCCGTATCCCCACCTGGAATTAGTATTTAAGCGGAATTTTCGAATTTTTAAAGAGGTTACAGTAGCCTTAGTGAGTCATAACATTACCGTAAGATATCGCTTTAATATATAATCTTAATAAATGGTAATTTCGAAAAGGAAAATTATAACTGAAATTTTGCAGTATTTTAAGCAATTTTTACGTATTCTCAGCTTGCAATTTGTAGATTACTTTAATTTTCCAACATAAAATTAAATTCTCCACTCACTGGGCCATCGTCGAGTACAACAGGCAACAAAGGACGGCGAGAATCAGAAGTTTCTGCATCATTTTAGAAAAAATCGGGGGTAGGTGCCGGAAAGTTGTTTGTTGTTGTGTATATACCCTGACGATCCATCCCCCCATCCCCCTTCTTATATCATACACACGCGACCGGGGGGCGGCGAATTTTGGGGTGGAAAACCCGAGAAACCGGTTGTGGGTTGTATATCTCGACGGTTCGGCAAAGAAAGGGCAAATATCCCAATCGAAATCGAGGCCGGTGGATGAAAATTGTTCGCCGAGGGGATCTTTGGCACGGTGGAGAGGCATCAGTGTATTCTGTCAACTGTATTGAGTAGCCGAACGGAAAATGTGAACATTGATTCGATAATGATGAGGGATTTGCATTGCGTAATTGGTTCAGGAAATGGATTTAGGAGCTCGGAGATTGATCACGTCACGTTTGCGTAGTGGTTGATTTTGTGAGCTTCCCTTTACGTCAGAGCGAGAGAAAGAGATAGAGAGGGAGAGAGAGGGAGAGAGAAGAAAGTCAGGGAGCTAGTGAATGAGACAGTGGAGAGCGAGGGAGAGGGAGTGATAGCCAGGTAGAGAAAGAGCCTGAGCAAGAGTGTACGAGAGAGAGAGAGAGAGAGAGAGAGAGAGAGAGAGAAAGCGCTAGTAAGAGGGAGAGTGCGACAGTGTGGCCCACAGAGATAGAGAATCAGAGAGGAAGCTGGAGGAAGAGAGCGACAGAGGAGCGAGAGAGAGGGAGGAGAGAGAAAGAGGGCGAGAGAGAGAGAGAGCGTGAGAGAGAAATCATCGTTTCTTAACGGCGCTGTGAAGGCACCACTTTTCGATTTTGCCGAAACCGCGAGACGCAACGCTTCCCCCGTTTTAATCCATTACGCAATGGAAATGCTTGAAGATCCAATTTTTCGGGCTTTCTACACTTCATTCAAGTGACCCTTGACCCATATCGCCTGCTTTACGCAAATTTCTTATGCATGACTGTATCGAGTGTCACACGCTTTCATTTTTTGCCGTTGCCACCAACATTTAGCCGTCAATATCCCAAGATTTTTTGAGGCTCTTATCGCGTCTTATGACAACGTGACTGCAGATTTAGGTCCAGCGGAATCCTGAGAATGCGTTTATTCACTCGAGAGAGATCGTGAAATGGGGTAAAATAAAGCCGTAAAGGTATCGAGGAGGTTATCGACCCATCATGGCGCCCATCATTCCTCCCATTAGTGCGCCTTGCAGCATACCGCCGACGGGGTTTCCGCTGAAATTAGAAGATATATTTAATGCACTTAATTGAAGCGGCCTCGGAGGTTCTGTTTCGTTAGCGGGGGGTGATTTAAAGGGGTAGATTACCCCAATCGCCGCCCTTCCCCGCTAATGAATCAGAAAAATTACAATATCACAATACAACGAAATTAAAAACCGACATAAGTCCTGAGATAATTTTGTAACACTCACCCGCCGCCGTACATTCCGTATCCGCCATACGGGCGATATCCATATCCGCCACCGTATCCGCCACCGTACCCTCCGTATCCGTACGGACTGTATCCGTAGCCGTATCTGGAAAATTTAATATGCAAAAGACAGCTCGCAGAACATTAAAAAATACGCGGTAACCAAACAGCGTGTCTACACTACGCTTCGTTGCTACAACGAGCCACCGCATCGCTAAAATTCCGTAAACCTACGTTACACGTTAATCAAAAGCTAAGCTACGCATTTGTAATATCAACGCTGTGGAATTACAGTACAACTTGCAGTATGAAATTTATGGTAATCAGTTCAGCAAGGTACGAAACTACGGTATACAGCCGGTTATTACGCCAAGCTACGTAACCGTACTAACCACACCTTACGCCAGATGACGGTACACTGCTACACTACGCTACACTACGCAACGGCACGCTACACTACGCTACACTACGCTACGCTACGCTACATTACGCTACACTACGCTACGCTACGCTGCACCACCCTAGATTACACTACGCTTCTGTCCTATCAACACACTGCATAATTCACTTCCCAAACGACAGCTACCCGTGCATAATTGTCGGCGCTAGGCTACGCATCGCGACTATTAACCAATTAATGACTGTAGTGCACTATGAAGTAAATCGTTGGTAGCAGCTACGCGTAGCCGAGCGTAAAAAGATTGCCGCGTATCGTAACCAGGTATCATACCGTAACTATCACTCTCAAAGGTGTAAGCCACTCACTGTGCCATCGTCGGGTACATCAGACAGCAAACGACGAGGAGCACCAGAAGTTTCTGCATGTTGTTGTCGTGGTCTCTCAACTCTGAAAGATGTTGAGTTGGGTGCACGGCCAGAGACCGTTATATACCTCGTCTTGTGTTGGATAGATGATGGACCGGTTTGACCTCGTGGGATGCACACATTTTTGCCTGTTTGTCAAATATCGCCGGGCATCGTGCGATGTGACGCCATTTGGGTCATCCTTTAGCGAACGGTTCGGCGCGCCGTTTTGAACGGATACCCCAGTAGGATTTGTAGAGTTTAGTTTGGGTTCTGAAACCGACTTTTTAGCGAAAAATTTTAATATAAAACCTGTGGTTTAAAGCTTAGAAAGTGTGGGTTTACAAAAGCAACGAAAAGCAGACAAATGCGTTTTGCAGTCGGCGCACAACATTTGCTAGTTTAAAGGAGCCGTGCGTATCTAAATAACTTATCTCCTACCCCCCCCCCCCGCCGATAATGTGAAAGAACCTAAAATTAGCATTACTATTAATCGCATAAAAATTCGTTCCGCTCGCAGAACTCAAGTGTTCAGAGACGTAGTACGTAGCTCAATTCTTCCAAGCGCTACGCTACGCGCCAATGCACACGTGTCCTTTCCGGCTCCTATGCTAAAAGATCGAGGGTTTCACGGCACGATTTCTGTTGTTTTGCTGTTTTAGACATTACATGGCGTAACTGGTATAACGCAATCAATAAAGCTTCCTAATTTTGAATTACCTAGCGTAAATAGTGTACCTTCACGTAAGCAACCCAGATACAACCCGATAAACGTCGCGATCTTTGCCCAACCACACCCTATTATTGTCATTTTTCGAGTGGCTATGCTCTATTTGGGGTAAACCACTCGATTCCCACCGAGGACAAATGACGTACGCGCGACACAGCCCCTGAAAAAGGGCAGTCAATAGGCAGACACCGGAAAGGGATTGGAAATGAGTGGATCTCGGGATAACACATCGGCCGATTTCGCGCGGGATGATTCGATTTTGGCTGGCGATTGGAAACAGTGTACTCCACTTGGAAGGAAAATACAAAATAATATAGCCCAATAATTGTTACAGAAAAATAACATCATGATTTTTACAGATCATACTCAATTACAGTGCTTTCAAAGTGAAGCCTATGTCAAAACTGTTGCTTTTTTAACAAAATACAGTCACGATCTTTACCGATTATGCTAACATGTAAGCTAAGCTTCTGAAGTCCAACGGCTTTATGTTTTAAATAAAGCCTAAACTTTACAAATTGCGCCTTTCATCAAATTCTTGACAAACGGAAGCATTGAAGCTATAAAATGAAGCCTTATTAGCAGGTTTTTTTTGCAAAAAAGAGTAAATAAAAAAAGAAACGTAAAGCTTTTAGGGTCAACACAAGAACGCGGCTGAACAAGTAAAGCTAATACTAAGACCAATGAGAAATTAAGTAAACACACCCCAAATTTCATTGCAGAAAACCAGCCCCGTTTTGCAAATAGCACAAAAACGTTACGATCACCGCCGGTGGCACCGCCCGAATTTAGGCTAAAACGCTATCTCGGCCACTTGTCGGTATGCCGTGATAGGGCCTCCGCGGTGGTTGGTGCAGCCATTTTTCAACATTTTCGAAACTTGCTCCACTTCTAAACTTGACTGAATTAACGCAGAAAAGCAGATTAGCATCTTACTACATGGCAATTATTTCTTGTTTCTACTGTTAAGGGCGTAGTTTTTGGATCGATATTTTCCGCGCTGGCCGTTACAAATCCAGTTTTTTGTAAGTCCAACATTACCTAGTAACGTAGTTACCAGTATTGTAAAGTATTTTTAGTAAAATTTCCATATATTTCAAATGTAAAAATCATCTGAAAAATTTAAAAAATTTAAATTAATAGTGTTTGTCGAAAATTTTGTTTTTTAACTCAAAACTCAAAAAAGTTTTTTGTATTTTTTTAAAATGAAACTTTTGAAATTTTTGGCGTGCATGAGAAGCACCGTTTAGAAGCGTCTCTTAGCGCTTTTTTATTTATATTAGAAAATTGGATACTAAAGTGAAAACCCGGCGTATTTTGAGTTCGTAGAAAATCCTTTGCCGAAATTCATTTGGTCGAAATTTCAATGACTTTTTGCCGCGATTATTTATGTCAAACGTTTTGACAGCTGAAAATTCGACAAAATCGATTGCGAGATACTGGTAGCAAATCAGCCCCCTTCCCCCCGATAATGCGAAAGAACGACCGAGCCAAAGCGTTTCTCTATAAGCTTTTTCTAACTCTACTTCGCCTTGCCATGCGAATATTGCTTGATTGTCGGCTGTTCCCCAAACTTGTTTCCCCACACTTTCACATCCATTGTTCCCGGATGATCCGGCAAGTTCTTCCGGAGTCTCCCCCACCACTCCCGATTTCTCTCTTGCACAGGATATGCCAGGACGCCGAAAAGGGGAGGAGGGAAAAGCTTCCTCACTCATTCTCCACAAAACAATGGCCATCAAATGGATGAGTATAAATTGGCCCGCGAAATCCGGGAACCGCATTTCAAGCCCTGCCCGCAACGTTGATCCCTGCTGATACTTGGAGGTAAGTTAAAGTTTTGGTATCTTGATGTTAACCGTTTGGTTATTTTGATAGTATAAAACTGATAAAGTATCTTTTTATCGTTTAACCTTACACTTTTTGCTACAAAATTTTGTTTTTCTATTTGTTATTGCAGATGAACGCCTTGATAAAAACTCTGCTTTTTGCCGCCATTCTTGGGATTACAATGGCACAGTGGGGTAAGTATTTTTTGGTTTTATAAAGCAAAAACTGCTTTTGAAATTTACTTTACAAAAAAATACTTTTCGCTTGCTCTACCATCAAATATTAAAAAAATTTAACCTTTACGAGACATTCGCGTGTCAAAAATCGCCAAAAATGCAAGGGGCGCATAGTGTAAAAGTGTGCGGAGTGACCCCTCGTACGAAAATTTCAAGAACGCAGCGCTCCACCGTACACCTCTGCCCACTGCGCGCTGACAGTTTCGATTTAAACATTTTTTGGCATGTTGCGACTTCCAAATATCGCCAACAGAGTTTTTCAAAGTATTTGTTAAAATTAACAGTTTTCGATGCCTAGGCCACCAAAAATTAGAAAGGTAGGCCTTCCAAGACAGTTACGTGCCAAAAACGAGGCAATTATGGAAAGTGCAAGGAGCGCATAGTGTACAAGTGTACGGAGTAGTGCCCCGTAGGAGAATTTCGAGAACAAAGCGTTCCACCGTACACCTCTACACTGTGCGCTTTCCAATTGGCATAGGTTTTGGCATGTCATTGTTCTCCAGAATTTTAACTATAATTCTCGCTTTAAAAACGAAAATCTTGCAGCTCCCTACGGTCCGTACGGCCCGTACGGAGGCGGTATGGGCGGAATGGGCGGCGGCATGGGAGGAATGGGCCCATATGGGCCCTACCGGCCCTATGGCCCCTACGGGCCCTATGGCCCATATCGCGGAATGGGCGGCATGGGAGGAGGTGGGCCCTGGAGACGACCATACATGCAACAACAACGTGAGCTTAGAATCACCCAATTTTAGCAAAATAAACCCATCCTTTTCAGGGCGTATGAACCCGGCGGCCGGCATGCTGCAGGTGATTTTACGCCTCCATTACCGTACCATTAATCGTTCAGGGAGCGATGATGGGCGCGATGATGGGCGCAATGATGGGCTGAACGTCTTGGTGTCGTCGCCAGTGTTTTGTACATTTTTTGAAAATTATCGTGATCCTCAGCCAATGGAGAATAAACGGGTTCCTCTTATTGTTCGTTTTCAAGATCTTATACATCCTATATAGCATTTACACTGCGTCTATTGGTGCTTGTCCATTATCGGGGGGGGGGGAAGGTAATTTTCCTTACAAGTCCAAAAATATAATATGTATGTAATATGTTTTGCTAATATTTTTCATAAAATGGAGCGGGAATTCAGATCGAAAAACTTTTAAGAAACCCTGGAAAAACGTTTAAATTTTGAATTTAGTTGCAAAAGTTGTTATTTCCTATTTTTAATCATGTTTGCTATTTTTTACGTTTAGAAAAATGCGAATGCGTACGCCAAAAATCTAAGCCTTAGTCTGCGCCAAAGCCCAAACCTATCCTAAGGCTAAGCCTAAGCCTAACCTAAGCCGAAGCCTTGGCCTAAGCCTAAGCCTAAGCCGAAGCCTTGGCCAAAGCCTAGCCCCAGGCCCAGGCCTAAGCGTACCCTAAGCCAAAGCCTAGGACTAAGCCAAGCCAAGCCTTGCCTAAGCGTAAGCTAACCGAAGCCTAAGCCTAACCTAAGCCAAAGCTTAACCTAAGCCTAAATCTAAGCATAAGCCCAAGGCCAACCTCAGCTGAAGCCTAACCTAAGCCTAAGCCAAGTAAACCTAAGCGGCCTGTAATACGCAAAAACCCATTTTACTCTCCTACGAATCCGGCACCATAAGGCTGTTTGCCATCACGCTGCGGTTGCTACGTTTTGCAAAAGCCCCCCAGTTCCCCCGCCAACCCTTATCACCATTCTATACTGTAGAGCGAGCAATTTGACGCGCACTGCCCCCCTTTATCGCTCGTTTTAGCGGTCCCGGTTTTAGGCTAAAAATTCGGGGACGGGGGTGCGCTAAAAGTGCCCGAAAATTTACCTGAAGCCGGGCAGTGCGAAATGTGCGGATTTGCAGCCAGGGGATGCCCTATGACGGTTGATAAGGCTGTAATAGATGTAATGTTCGTAATGTGGAGAGATTTTAACGTTATTGTGGTTATGGGTGTTGCGAAAAACCACTTAAAAGCTGGTGTTGCGTTTTCTATAGCTTCTACTCGCGTTGAGGCTGTGTTGAAAACTTTGCAAAACTTCGGGCAATGACTTAACCTAGCTGTAAGATACTCGGTTCTTGGCCTTTAGCGGGGGGGAGGATTTTCGACGACGTCGAGTATCAGATACCGAGCAGTATCTGATACTCTACGTCGCCGAAAATCGTCAGATTCTCACCAACGTCATTGGATTATGGAAGTAACATTTAGACATCACAAGCGCGAAGTCTTTCTATAAAGACATTATCGTTTCAAAAAAAGTCTTTCTCTCCCATTTCAAACCCAAGTTTTGGCTGCTCGAGATGTAGCCGAAAGCCGATTACTTTTCTGCCAATCAAT